CCCATTGGTCACCAGAATCAGTTATTCCACAGGTGTCTTCTGTCTTAGTTTGGTGGGGATTGGTGTGGGTACTACCGTGGGTGGGATTTTTTCTCATGCTGACTAGCCCCTAAAACTTGTCATGACTGGTTTGGATAATTGTGTACAGGAGTTGGCCCCATGGAGCAGGAGTCGTTTTGATGGGTGCTGGCTTAGTCCCCCCACTCAGTGTGCCATTTGTGAGGTAACTTGGGTGTGGCACTCCTGTAAGACGAAGCCGGTTTCCAAATGTGCCAGCTCTGAAGCCTCTTTAGAGTGGCTCTGCTGTGGCTGAGGCCAGCTGCAGATTGTGCAGGGCCTAGAGCTACTTGGGTAGGGGCGATATTTCAGCAAAGGTCGGCTGCTGCATGTGCCGGGTCTGGGTCACTTGGAAGGAACTGTGATGAGAACCAGGGCCATCTGTTGTCTGTACCATTGTTGGAACCACTTGGGACGAAGTGCAGTGCAAGCTGATGATGACTGCCTCTGTGGCAAGGTCGGGTCTACCTTTGGGAGTAGTACTGTTAGAATGGCATACTTGTTAAAAGACCTTGGGCAGATGTCTATGTTGGGTCCTGTCTTCCCTTAGAGCAGCGGTTCTCAACCTGTGGGTCGCGACCCCTTTGGAGGTCGAACGACCCTTTCACGGGTGTCGCCTAAGACCATCCTGCATATCAGATATTTACCTTATGATTCATAACAGTAGCAACATTACAGTTATGAAGTAGCAACAAAAATAATTTTATGGTTGGGTCACAACATGAGGAACTGTATTTAAAGGGCCAGAAGGTTGAGAACCACTGCCTTAGAGGTAGGCTGTGACAGACACTAGGGTTGCCCTGACAGTAGGAGGGGAGTCTTAATGGCAACAAGAAAGATTGTATGGTATGAATAAGGTGTGCCTATTTGATGGTCACATCTTAAAGCAGTGGTTCTCAACCTTCCTAATGCTGCGACCCTTTAATACAGTTCCTCATGTTGTGGTGACCCCCAATTTCATTGTTACAAATTGAACGTAATTAAAGCATAGTGATTAATCACAAAACAATATGTAATTATATATGTGTTTTCCGATGGTCTTAGGTGACCCTTGTGAAAGGGTTGTTCGACCCGCAAAGGGGTCGCGACCCACAGGTTGAGAACCGCTGTCTTCAGAGAGAAAGAGAAGAGATTGGGGAAAGCAGCCAATCGACAATCGACGGAGGGCCCAGTTCACTCTCCTAATAACCAGGGAGCTCACCAGGACCCTTAAGTACCTCTGCTGCTGCTGGCTCTGCATCTACTGCAACAAAGATCCTGACCCCCTGGTTAGTGGGGACAACAGTTATAGCCTGTCGGTGGCACAGCAAAGGGATTAACTCAGACTGGACTCAGGTCCTTAAGTCCTATATAGCAATCATTTCATAGGCGAAGCCTCTAATCCTGATAGCACTGCTTTGAGCCCCTCTGAAGGGAAAGTTTAATGGGCACCATGCTTTAGAGACTGCACATTCATTCCTCTGATGTTTTTATAGTGACCTAAAATATAAAACAGGTAAGGGCTTGAGCAAAAGAACAAAAGAAAAAAAGCATTGAAATGGTACAGAATTTGACGTAATTGGAAATTCAAAATTCACAGAAAGAATTAAATAAAAAAAATTAAAGGTCACTCTTTGGACTTTGAGTTTCTAAAAATAATTCCAGATTGTTACCCATTATCTGTAATGCAGTGGTATGCGACCTTTCGTGCAATTCTCATGTAATTTGGTTTCAAGTTACAGTTATACCTGGGATCTCAATAAATTAAAGTAAGGTACTTCCTGATCTTAGGGGAATTGCTGAAATAAAGGAGAAAGGAATATACTTCATGTAAAAAATGAAAAGTATGCCCTTGACTCAAGGTCATAGCACCCATTCTCCAAAAATACCCATGTCATGAGGAAAGCTCTGACCCAATTAATTAAATTAAAACTTCACCACTTCCAAATTGGCTTTACAAAATTTGACTCTGTGGTCCTTACCACTTTGTAATGTTAGTTAATGTGACCCAGTGTAAATTAAAAAGGGCCTTCAAGAATTGAAAACTGTAGTAAATAACCTTTTAGAAAGAAGTCATTATCTCCAGTTATACTTTGAACAGCTGAATTTTGCCTTTTTAAACCTGGAGAGAATGAATGACTTCTCACACTGGATTACTAAAACCTTGAGGTTGTGTTCATACCAGATAAACCTGTATTTCCAGTTCCCGACATTATCAAATTTACTGACGCCTACTCATTAACTGGTACGGATTCTGTTATCATAGGTTTGGCTAACAGTGTGTTCTATTCAGTGCCCATTTCAACAGCCATTTAGCACAGTTGGGCTTCACCCTGAAGGGCCATGATACACCTTCACCTGGTTATTCTCAGGAAACCTCAACACCATTATCACAGCACACAGTCTGCAGGTCAGATATAAGCTGCATTTATCTTGCTCCAGGAGAACAGGCATGACATTACATGTTTGTCATTCTCCTTGGTGGACATTCTTTTGACATTTAGGACACACGTACAGTGAAAAAAGGAGCTTATGAAAGGGAGATGGCCCACTGCACAAAACATATGAGGCCCTGGTGCCTTGGTTACTTTTTTTTTTTTTACAAGACAAAAAAATTAAAAAACATTGTTCCGTGGGTATGTAATAGCCTAAGGGGCTAAATAGTTACTTTGGGGCGGCTTTACAAATTTAAAATAGATGCTGAAGTAAATGTTACATATTATCATTATCTGATTCATTTTCTTCCTTAAAGATTCTTTAGCCTATTTCTCTGCATCATCCTTTATATCTTTTGGGATAATTTTTATCATCCTTTAGTTATTTCACCAACGCAACTCAGCTCTAGTTCAGCTTTATCATTAACTTTATTAAGTACTATGGAAATGGTTTTTGTAACTTCTTTAACAATATCACGGCAGGCATTCTGTTTATCTGAAATTTTTCTGTTTCTGTCTTCCAGCTTGTCTGGCTTTGCCAGTAGCATAGCCCCAATGACCATATGAAATACCTGGTGGGTCAGTCATGCACCATCATTCACACTAAAACTTTAACATGAAACCGCAGCCAGAAGTTCTCACAGCACTGTGAAGTGTGTATGCCCATATGCATGTCCATACGTGGCCACTCTGTCTGCAAGATGTTTTAGTGGAATGCTATAGTCAAAGTTACATCTAAAGTTGCAAGCTTCTTCTCTTGCAGTCTCTGCTAATGAACGGGCATCTGAGGACAAACCTGCCATTCCATCATTTAAAAGTCGTTTTATGGAACCTTCTTCATAAAGTTTGCATTGACTGTTATCTGTTATTAATTTTATGAAAATTAATTGGTACTGCACTGACTTGTTTCTATATTCCTTTTTTTTAAAGGTATTCCCATGATGTGCTTTCAAATTTTTTGTTTAAAGCAGGGTTACCTAGGGTTTATGGATCTTGCCTTCTGTCTTATTTGTTCTGTCTTGTTTTTGCATTATTCTTCACTGAGACAGAGGTTTTTGTTTGTTTGGTTTTAAAGTACTGGTTGTGTTTAGAACAAAATATTTGGGCCATATTTCAAAATACTGGGTTCATTTTCTCTTTCCAAATTCTGGAATCACTAGATTGCCCTGGGACCAAAATTATCTTATGGATCTAAGAATAGAAGATGATTTCCAGTTTTTGTGCTTTTTTTCCTGAGGTTGAGAGAATGACATCCTCTAAGTTACTTAAATTCCAGATCAGAAACTTGAAGTCTCTGACTCCAATCACTGATGATTAACTGCTGACCGCTTTAATACTTCATAATTTATTTCCCCCATGTCTTTACATCTGTCTGATGCTACAGGAGAGCCTTCATGCTTTGTCCTTTAGTGTAGCAAGAAGTTGACTACACGCTAGCTCCACCCTTGTGTATGAACTCTCACCTTAGTTCCCTTTCTAAACTCAATAAAATAAGTCCACGCACCTTTTCATGCTCTCTCAAGCTATTTCATGCCTGCTTGAGAGAGGTCCCTTACTTTCCCTAAAGACCCCAATTATGAAAGTAATAGCCCTTTCATACCCTGTTGGCAATGTGTGGTTTCATCAGCTGAGGGATTTCTATGACCAAGGGTTGAGTTATCATGCTCCTTTATTCAACAGGGGAAGTAAAAATTGACAGAAGGATAGGCATTGCCTAGATATCTTGTGTTACAATTGCCTACAGCATTCAGTGCAGTAATAAGCAATCTACTATACCATGTAGCCTAGGTGTGTGGTAGGCTATGCATACCAACGAAGTTCGTGTATGATGTTTCTACAATGCCAAATTCACTTAACAATGCATATCTGGGTGTGTCCTTGTTGATACCACCATTTTAGCTCATCAGATCATACAGAGAGAGAAAATAAGAACTAAAACTGGTAAATATTACACAAGGAAAAGACCCTGTTTCTCCATAGAATATTTTCATTACATCTGATTATTTGTAATGTCCTGGAGGACTTTAGTAAGGTATGGCCTGCTGTACCTTGATAAAACTTGGATTCCCAAGGATCACATGTATTCTATGTTTGGTGATAGGAAAGCTTCTAGTTCTTTAATACATTTTATTCATCAAATGCGGATTTGACATTCGGACTTAGGAGTGCTGTCAATTGGGAATAATAAGAAAGGAGCTGAATCGATTTTTCTTACAAGGCATTGATGTTATTAAAATAATAATGTTTGTTTCACTTGTATAGAATTGTCATTTCCCAACATGCTCTGTACCTTGTTATTAGAGAAATAATGATGTGACGTAATCATAGTAAAAATGTGTAAGCAATTTTCATGTGTTCATGATGGTGTTAAATTTATGAGGAAGTGTGGAAAGTACATTTCTTTGATCAAGTCATAAAATAAATTATTGGAGCTGATAGAATCATATGTAACCTTCTTATAAATGGATTGTAGATTTTCAGGCTATCAAGTTCACAAACTTTACTCTCTACATATATGGATTATTTTAGGACTCGGTATCCTTTGAGGATGTGGCTGTGAACTTCAGTCTGGAGGAGTGGGCTTTACTGGATTCCTCACAGAAGAAACTCTACAGAGATGTGATGAGGGAAACCTTCTGGAACCTGGCCTCCATAGGTAAGGATGATGAATTCCCTTTACTGGCTCAAATTAGAGCACAAGTTTCTTTGTTTTTTCAGAGAGGAACATCAATGATGAGAGAGAGAATCATTGATTGGCTGTCTCCTGCAGGCCCTACACTGGGGATTGAGCCCGCAACACAGCATGTGCTCTGACCAGGAATCAAACTGTGACCTCCTGGTTCATAGGTTGATGCTCAACTACTGAGCCACGCCAGCCAGGCACAAGTGTTTTTTACCCATTAGCATTTTTATAGATGTATCATTTGGGAAGGAATGACATTGACAAGTAGTTACAGCTCATCATAGAAATAGAATGTATTAATTTTTAAATAATTTCTAATACTTTGGAATTATTTTTCTGGGTCTGCTTCTTTAGGTAACAAATGGGAAGATCTTGACATGGAAGATCAGTACAAAAACCAGAAGAGAAAACAAAGGTGAGTCACACAAGAGAAAGCAGTATCTCATGTAAAAAAACCATTGAAATTTTAAAAAGAAGCAACCAAAGCAACAGCTTCTTTAAATATATTACATCTTAGGAGATGTTCACCAAATTGCTTTCTTATATATGATATAAATGATCAGTGTTTGCAAAATAGATTAGGAAACAGCATTATTAAAACCCTGTATATGAATATCACTGTTTTATTAATAGCAAGGCTAAACTTGTCTTGCAGAGCCTTCAGTAGATTAAATTTTATATAAACATAAAACATAAAACCTACACTTTCAGTGTAAATCATACTAATATACTTTAAATATTTTACTGATCAATACAAAGTCTCTAATAAAAAATCATTCATGATGTCTTTCTTGTTTTTTACAGAAGCCGTATGTTGGAGAGAGCCTGTGATGGGAAAATGGTTAGTCAGTGTGGAGAAAACATCAGCCTTATTCCTGATTTCAGTCTGAAGAACTCTCTTCCTGGAGGAACACGGTGTGAATGCAGAGTGTTTAACAAAGCCTTCACGGATCATTCATCCCATAGTAGTCACACCAGCTGTCACAAAGGACAAAACTTCTCTGAGTATCAGAGATGTGGAGCGAAGCCATATAAATGTAATGTATGCGGGAAAGCCTTTAGTTATCTTCAGTGCTTTGAAAATCATGAAAGAACTCACTATGGAGAGAAACCCTATAAGTGTAAAGAATGTGGGAAAACCTTTATGTGGCTCAAAATTCTTCAGAAACACATGACCAAACATAGTGCAGATGCTCCTTATAATGGTAAGGTGTATATGAAAACCTTTAGTTCTTCAACTTCTCTTCAGACAGGTGAGATAACCCACTCTGGAGAGAAGGCCTATCAATGTGAAAAATGTAGTAAAACATTCAGGCATCCCAGCCAACTTCACGTACATGAAAGAACTCACAGTGCAGAGAAACCATATGAATGTAGGATATGTGGAAAGGCCTTCAAATATTTCAAATCCTTAGAACCACACAGAATGACTCACACAGCAGAAAAACCCTATAAATGTAAGGAATGTGGCAGAGCATTCAGACATTACAGTTCCTTAGAAATACACAAAAGGTTTCATACTGGAGAGAAGTCCTATGAATGTAAACACTGTGGTAAAGCTTTTAGTTATCACAGCTCCCTTAAAGGACACATGAAAATGCACACAGGAAATACTCCATATCAATGTAAGGAATGTGGGAAAGTATTCACTCTTATCAGGTCCTATCGAAATCATGAAAGGTACCACACTGGAGAGAAGACCTATCAATGTGAAAAATGTAGCAAAGCGGAAATACACCTTACCAATGTAAGGAATGTGGGAAAGCATTCACTTGCCTTAGTTTGTTACAAAGACATGAAAGAACTCACACTGGCGAGAAACCCTATGAATGTAAACAATGTGGTAAAACCTATAAAGATCACAGTAACTTACAAACACACGAAAGAAATCATACTGGAGAGAAACCCTTTAAATGTAAAGAATGTAGAAAAGCCTTCAATTGTAACAAAAACCTTCAATTACACGTGAAAAGGCACAATGGAAACAAACCGTATAAATGTGAAGAATGTGGGAAAGCCTTTGTTGATGGCTCATCCTTACGAAGGCATAAGAGGATTCACGAATAAAACCTAGTGAATGTAAATAGTGTGGAAAAGACTAGTTATTCCTTTTCTTTCTGGAGGCATTAGAGGACTCACTGGATAAAACCTAATGAATGTAAAGAGTATGAGAAAGGTTTCATTGGTCTATATATTTTTTTAATGTATTTTTATTGATTTCAGAGAGGAAGGGAGAGAGCTAGAGAGGTAGAAACATCAATGATGAGAGAGAATCATTGGCTGCCTCCTGCATGCCCCACACTGGGGGGTCCAGCCTGCAATCCGGGCATATGCCCTGAACGGGAATCAAACTGTGACCTTTTGGTTCATAGGTTGATGCTCAAGCACTGAGCTATGCTGGCTGGGCTGGGCCCACATCTTTATATTTGAAAACTCTCACTGAAAGGAATAGAAATGTAAATAACCTGATAAGGCTGATGGAAATTAATGTTTGTATAATGTTCTGGAAAATGTTCAAGGTTAAAGAGTTGTTTTGAAAATTATAAATATTTTTGTTTACCAAGTTTCTTTAAATGTGTTATTAGGATGTGATTTTCTAATACTGTTGATCCTTAAACAACTCAGGGATTAAGGGCACCAACTGCCCACATACTAAAACCCTTGTAGAACTTAAGCCAGTCCTCCATGTGGTTTCCCAACCACAAATTGAAATGGCAGTTCATCCTTTAAAAACAAGTGTTTGAACTGCTGCTAAAAAGTGGATCCTTGCAGTTCAAGCCTGTGTTGTTCAAGGGTCAACTGTAATTTCTTTTAGAAATGAATATTACAATGAAATAATTCTGGGACATAACTTTCTACAATATTACATATTAGTAACTGGTGATTTTTTATTAAGTGAGTTAGTAATATTATCTATTGACTTTTTGAAACCTGTTAGATCAAAGTGTGTGAATTCTAATGTATTTCTAATATGGAAATAGTTTATTTTTTAAATGATGTTTTATTTGTTTTTTGTTCAGATGGCATTAAAAAATTACAATTCAATATTTTTTTTATTTTGGTATTTGGATTTTTTACTGGCCTTGTGAAATTTAATATCTATATGTATATATCTCATCTATCCCTTTATATATATGTATATATATGTATATCTCATATATCCCTTTTTTACTGACAGTGCTTTTTTTTGATGGGGGTGTGGGGTGTGGGGGGGAGGTGATGGGTATAAGAGCTTTTTCCTCATGTTTCTTAGCAATAAACAGTGGGAGTAAATATTTATGTGTGTCAATTTTTATGAAGAATATATTTCCATGTGAATTGTTACTTTGTTATTTGATCTTGTGCTTTTTTTCCTGACTGGCATGTTAGATATATTTGGTTTAAGAGGAGAGACCTGTGATATGACCCAAAATCTATGTTTGGGATATCCCTTTGTAGGTAATGTTAGGAATTAGATTTTCCAGGATTTATAGTCTCTGAGATTCCATATTAGACTGTACCAGTAGCCTCACTTGCATGAATATGGAAGGCATAAGCAAAATAGGCATTAGATTGTGGAGCCATCATATCCTATATAATAAAACCCTAATATGCAAATTGACCGAACAATGGAATGACTGGTCACTATGACGTGCACTGACCACCAGGGGGCATATTCTCAATGCAAGAGCTGCCCCGTAGTGGTCAGTGCACTCCCACAATGGGAACACCGCTCAGCCAGAGGCGAGGTTCACAGCCGGAGAGAGCAGCAGCAGTGGCCAGAGCCTACCCCGCCTCCGGGGAACAGGCTTCAGCAGGCAGGTGAACATCTCCTAAGGGATCCCAGACTGTAAGAGGGCACAGGCCGGGCTGAGAGACCCCCTTTCCACCCCCCACTCCCAGTGTTAAGGGCCACTGGCAAAGAACACTCAGTTTAATTATGTCAGCTGAAACTCAGAGCAAAGGCATAGCCATGCCCTGAGGGTGGACCCAGTCAAGAGATTGGACGCCACTCAGTCTGACTTTCCCACCCAGTGTTAAGGGGATGGATCTCATGATGTCGCCAGGAACTCAAGGCCCACCCAGATGTGATGTAACTTCCTGTAATTCGAGTATATAATAAACTCCTTCCAGTGCTGGCTCTCTCTGTCTGTCCCTCAGTGAGAAGGCAGACGCCACACCCAGCCCAAACTTTTAATCTAATTTTGTGTCTGTCCTGTTCATTTTTCTTTAATCCCAAAAGTGCCTCCTAATTTATACAAACTGGTTCACATCTCTCTCTCCATGCGGGACATGGAGAAGAGACCCCAGCCCCGACACCCAAATGCACAAATGTCATACACCAGGCCTCTAGTATGGCAATAGAATGATACACAGGGGCTTTAAATAGGGCACCATTTCCCAGCTCATTTTTTTGGATTCTTTTCACTTTCAGTCAAGAGTATCTTCAAAACAACTACAATCTGGGGAAAACCAAGATGGCGGCATAGGTAAACACCGAAATTGCTGCCTCCCACAACAACTTCAAAAATACAACGAAAAGACAAAACGGACATCATCCAGAACTACAGGAAGGCTGGCTGAGTAGAAATTCTACAACTAGAAGGAAAGAGAAAAGCACACTGAGACTCAGAGG